GTCCCGCAACTTTGGACCCCAAAGAAAATGGGGACCTGGAGTGGCGAGGGCACTCTCTGGCACGGAGTTACAAACTTTTGTCACGGCCAGCGTTCAGTCAGCTTGGGACACCCCCCTCCCCCACCACGGTCTTGTCTGGAAACAAGGCAGTTGATTCCAGAACAAGCAGTGGGTTCCGACAGATTTCCTTATCCTATAGAGACAGATGGGGTGAGTGAAGCTTGGGTCGGGGGAGGGGGCAGGCAGAGCCTGGGGGTGTCTGGACCCTGAGCCAGGGATGCAGCATTTGCTGTGAAAAATGTTAGCAGCAGGCATGGGACCAAGGCTGCCGGAGCCACAGCTGGGTTTCTCCAAAGTGCTTTTAAACAAAGCGACCTAAATGGTCGCTTCCCACATCCACTCCTCCCCAAGAAAACAGTGTGTTTGCTTCTTATAGCTGAACCCAGTCAATCTGAGTCATTCCCACCCCCCGCCCCTAAGCCCACCAGCTCTGGCTCTGCAACAAGTAGATGCTCTGAATTTCCACTTGGTTCAGCCTTCCCGGTACAGGGCACCTCGCTGAGCTACACCACAGCCAGTCTGAGATCCTTTCCAGGAACCCCTGCAAGAGGAGAGCGGGGGTGCCTTCCCAACCCCGGCACCGACCTCAGCACTCCCAATGCTGTTCTTACTGTAGTCCCAGCCCCATCCCGCCCTTCAGAATCCTACAGGGATCCAAATCTGATTTCCACAGTAGAACGAAAAGAAAGATGAAACCATTGACAAATGTCTTTCTTAAGCCCACAGGTCTTTTGGAAGAAAGTCTGAGTTGAGCAACTTTGCTGGAAATCATTATTTCTTTGTATTAACAAGAGCACGTGCCAGTTACTACCTCAGGGAGACAGCCTGGCATTCAGAATCCTACTTGGGGGATTCTATTTGCAGCTCACCCATCTTATAAGCCCCGCCCCACACACGGAGACCTTTCTGAGCCCACCTTTTCAATGGGTGAAATGGATGCAACAAAGTAAACTTTATAAAAGAGACATTGCCGGGTAAGCAGCTCACCCTGCGGCTAACAAATGCCACTTCTTCTTCCTCCAGTCCGTCTAACTTCACTCAGATTCATCTTCTATAAGGGAAATCGTGTAGAAAAGAGGGAGCCAATAGCCACTCTAGGATGGGTAAGGATGCAGCCTTCCGGGGCAGGTGCTTGTGAGCTTGATTACCCTGCAGAGTTTGACATGGTGTTCAGGGACCCTCAAATCTGTCCATGGCATCTGTATTCAGGTTACTTGGACTATAAATGTTAAGTATATCTTTCCTATCATTCACACAAACATACATATAACAGAACTTCCTAAAATGCTTTAAAAAAAAAAAGAGCCTTTATTAACTTGTCGGGTCAATTTCAGTCCACCTGCTTTTCTCAAGGTTAATCTCTTAAGCTCACACTGGTCATATTTCAGCTCTCTCCTCCAGGGCCTCCACAGAGTACAACACTCCCCAAACTCCTCAAGTTCTTGGAAGCCAACTGGACTTCTCAGAGAAGGTTGTCCCCACTAAGGTTAAGAGTGAGGAAGTTCAACTTCAAGGAGCAGCTGCATCCTGGTGTGGGTTCTGGACCTGCTTTCTGAAACTTGCCCTGCCTACATCATCCCTGCAGCTGTGTGTGTGTGTGTGTGTGTGTGTGTGTGTGTGTGTGTGTTCGAGGGAGCCTGGGACCTCTGTGTTCCAGAGCCCCTCTCTGGCTCAGCTCAGGTTCAAGGCTGAATCTAAGATAACCCTGGACATTGCTAGAGGTTATCTCTGAAGGAAAATCAGACACCAAAAGTGTTCAGGGGACCAGAAAGCAAACCTTCTATCACACACTGCTTTGTCCTGGGGATAGTGTATGGTATGAAATGGAACGTGCATAGCATTCTGTGCATGCACTTTGAAGAACTATGTAAAAGTTAATGCAACTCAAGCCTAATGTTGGGAACACTGGCATCGGGGTGGGGGTGATAGACACAATAAAATAAGCCTGTGTTCTACCTACAGACATGGCTGTTTGGTTGATACAGATAGGGCGAAAAAGCCTATTAAGTTAGGACTAGGTATCATTCCGCCTGTTTGGGAGAAAGGAAATAATGTAGGCCAGAAACCAAGAATCTGGCCAGTACCCCAGAGCCAGTCAACTCCAAGCAGGCAGTCTGGTCTCAGCCCAAGTCTGCTGCCCTGAAGCCACACTGAGTGGTTCCTGTCGTGGGCAGGAGGAACACCTGTGGTCATTCTGCACACACCTCATCCGACCCCCAACCCCCCCACCCCCCCACCCCCGGTGCAAGGAGGATCTTACCCCGACAGCTATGGCCACGCAAATAGCTTTTAGTAGCACAACTCCTGGGACTGGAGGGGATTAAATGCAGCGGTGGGACCCTGGCGTCTGCAGGCTCTGGCTCGGTTCTGGGCACCACTCCCCTCATCCCCGCCCCCGCTCCCACGTGCATTTTGCCCTCTCAAAGCCACCCGGGGACTCCTGCCGCTCCCTGCAGCTGCACCTGTGGCTTCTCAGCCCCGGGGCAGTCAGAAAGACCCACTCAAAGGGGTCAGCCTGCCAACCGCTCGTGGCCTCCTCTCCTCTCCTCCGGCCCTTTCGACGGCTCGGTCCAGCCAAAAGCCCCGGCGACGGCCCTCGGGGCTGAACAGACCGTCCAGGACCGCGAGCCGTCGCCCCTGGGGAAGCCACACCATCACGGGGCTGCGGCATCTGCAGAGGGGACAGGGGCGCGCCTGGGCCGGGCGGCTGCGAGGAACAGCCGGGAAGGGGATTCTTTGACTAGAAACTCGGAACTTGGCGGTGCGCCGGATGGCTTCAGGGTGCAGGAGTGAGCTCGTGCCTCTCCCACGCGAGGCTCGGGCCCTGCGGGACCCCGCGGGGCTCCAACAGCCGCCTCCCGCCCATCCCAGACCCGCGGGTGTGCTCGGGAGCGCCCCGCCCCTGCCCGCGCACAGCCCCGCAGGGCGCGGCCCGGCGTCTCCCAGCTCCACCGCCCACCTCCCCCTCTAATTCGCCCCTGGGGTCTTGGTGGGTGGGGGGGCCTAGCGGGCGAGGCGCGCGCGCGACCCCCACCCAGCCCGGTGCTGGCCGTCACGGCCTGCAGCAGCCGCGCGCAGCCGGAGCCCGGGACCTCTCCGCGCGCGCACCGCGGGGCGCGCGCACCGCCCGTGCGCGCCGCCCGGGCCACCCGCGCCCCCGGCCCGACGCGCGCAGGGCTTGGCGGCGGCAGGGAGCGAGTGCTCGCCCGTGGGGCCGCCCGGCCGCGGAGCCCGAGGCGTTCCGGGGTTCTCTGGCCACGCTTGCTTGCGCCCGCATTTTCTTTGTTATCTGCAGAGCAATTGATTCTCGGGTGCACTCTGCGTGCCTCCCCCGTGTTTTCTTTTTCGTAAGTACAGAACTTTTTTTTTTTTTTTTTTTTTGGTAAACATTTCCTCAGTTGATGTACGAGTACTTTAGGGTGTAGTTGGCCCATAAAAAAGGCAATCAGTGCCTTCGGTGGAGTCAGCTGGCAGCCCCAGGGGAAGGGGAGAAGCCCGAGCCGGCCCGGGGTGGCGCCGCTGGGACTCCGGGCTCCGCACGGCCCCCGCACGGCCCCGCAAAATCGGGTCCCGGAGCTTTGCTCAGAGCCCTGCAAGTCCCTGCCCTTCCCGCCTCTGCTCTTAGCATTCACTGAATGTAATCTTGCAGGGAAATGAGCAAGTTCCTGACTGTCCTTTTTCTTGTTTAAAATGAAAAGTAGCTCTGTGTACCTATTTCGGTAAAAGCAAGACGTGGTCATTATTTTTACAGAAGATAGCAATTTTTCTAATTCTTAACTAATGCTTAATTTTTTTTTCATGACTTTCATTTGCTAAAAATACCAGTTTTCTACAGTATCTGTAGGGACTTGAAAACTATGATAAAGTTTGATTAGTGATCACTCAGTATGATTGGCTTGTTCCAAGTTGTTCAAATTTTAGTTTATTATTTCCTATTAGAAGTTGTCAGAATTTATTAAGGATAAAATTGATCTATTTTGAATATTTTCTGGCTGTTTTGGGCTAATAGAATGACGTCCAAAAACAGTGGATAATAATAACAATATTCATATGTGGAATTAGCCACTAGGCTTTTTTGAACTGCAGAAAAGAAAAATGTGTAATATATGCGTGGGTTTATTATAGGCTTTTAATAAGCACAAAGAAAATCCTTGACTTAAAATGCAAAACCGTCAATGAGATTAAGTTCCATGTATTCAGTAGTAGCACAATAGTGCCTGGGTGGTAAATAGAGCGACTGCTACTTACCGGTAGGTGTGAGTCCGCGCTTTAGATACTGTTGCACATCCCCAGGGTCCGAATTAGAAGACATTCTCAGTGAGAGCACAGGCAGGCCTTTGGCTCACAGCAAAAATCATGGAGCGCAAGAAAAAATACAGCTTGTCATCTTTTGTGGCCTTGGGAAGAGACACATCAGACTACAGTAACCCTTAGTGAAAGTTAAGAAAAAGAAAAAAAAAAAAATCCAGAATTCAGAAAGTTACAAGCAAGTCTTTCCCTGGACTCTGTACTGTTTCCAGCGTGAGTGACCTGTTGTAAACCATGTATCCAGTTTCACGATGGTTTCTAATCAGAAGAATGGAAACTTCTGATAGGCTTCACTGGACCACATGACTGTATGCAGGTCGATAAGCGGACCCTGTTATAAAGTGACAGCAGAAGAGATAAGAACTCTTGGCAGATAATGGCAAAGAAATGATTAACTCAGAAGTGGAGAGGCGCTATGCAGCACCCAGAGTGGAAAGTTGTAAAACCGAGGGTCAGATCAGACCTGGTGGATAAAACTGCAAACCAGCCTAAATCCACTAACTAAACTCAGGCTTGTGACATAGCCCCTTGATGTCATCAGCTATTTGCATAGAGGAGGGCACACGGGGCTCTTCTGACCTCTGCAAATATGGGTTAGATGATAACACTGACAGACATTAATTCTGGGAGGGCTGACTGCAGGTATGATCCACACTTTGAAACACCACGGGTTGCCACGCCAGGCTTGTGGCCATTTATTTAGTCATGTTTTGGTCAACCACCTGTTTCTTTTTTTTTTTTAAGTCGTAACTTCATTAGTGAAGGAGTTCATTTGAGCTTGTTTGTACATTGGACATTTGGTTAAAAGGACAACCTCTCCCCAATAAAGCAAAACCTACACTTTGAGATTAATGCTGAAAGATGACGAATGTGTAAGTAGCTTTTCTATAACTTTAAAGTTGTTATTTATTTGTTTGGGTCCATGAAGAAAATCTGTGCTACTCTTTACCACTAAAGGAGTAGTACTCAAATGACCAAAGGTAGTTTGTTCTGTTGAATATCCCTATTGTTATTCGAAGTAATAAAATCCAGATTCTTAGAGCAATGCATGTCTTTTCCCACATTGTGGAAGTGTGTTGTTTTTCTTTTTTGGGTTTTGTTAATTGAGTAACTTTGTATTCCTTTGGTCTACGATCCTATAAAAATATTTATATACACTGTTTTTCCTATTCAAAATATATTTTTTTAAGAATTAGTCTTGACTACATATTATAGAAAAACCTGAATAACCATGGTTGAAACAAGATGCTTAGTTCTCTTTTCTAAGTGGAGTTGAGAGGTGGGCAATCCAGAGATGGAACAATGGCTCTTCAAGTCTGGTTCAGACCACACTCTCCTTTTTTACTTTCTGCTAACTCTCATCCTCATGTTCCAAAATGGCTACTAGAGTTCCAGCCATCGCTCTTAGGAAGCAGAATCGAGGACGAGGGGAGGAAGCATGTTCCTTTTTGAGAACATTTCCTTAAAGTACCAGGCATTCTGTGTCGGTCTCGCTGGACCACAGGTAGATACCCATCTATGATTAGCTGCAAGGGAGAAAGGCAACTGAGGTGTTTTTAGCCGGACAGCTAAATAAGTACCCAAACGAAAAAGCATTGGGTAATTACAATTATCCTGTCAGCTTTTTGCTGTTATTTCCTTAACTAATCATGGCATATTACCAGAAGTGGACCCGTGTGTATGTTCAAGGACATGTGACTGGAAAGCAAATGTTCTGTTTAACTTATTTAGGAATCCAAAAAGCTGTTGCTTATACAACTTATACTTGTTAGTATCTGTTGTGTTAAAAATTAAAACAGAGAGACTTTAAAATGTTTATTATTTATATTTAACTTATTAAAATAAAATAATACATAACTCATTATATATTAACTTACTTTTACTGTGGTTCATTTAAAAATATTTATTTATGCATTTTTATTTCTTTGAAAGGCAGAGAGAGAATAAGAGAGATTCCATCCATTGGTTCACTCCCCCAGATGCCTGCAACAGCTGGGGCTGGACCAGACTGAAGTTAGGAGCCAGGAACTCCATCTGGGTCTCCCATAGGGGTGCAGGAACCCCAGTACTTGGGCCATCATCTACTGCCTCCCAGGCATGTTAGCAGGAAGCTGGATCAGAGCAGAGGTGAGACTCAATTCCATGTGCCCCGATGTGGGATAGGGGTGTCCCAAGTGTTGGCTTACCCCTTTATGCCACATATTAGTTTAATGGCACCTTTATAAGAAATTATCCAAGAGGCATAGAGACAGATATACAAACAGAAAGCCCCCATTTACTGGCTCACTCCCCAGATACTTGGAACAGTCTGGGCTGGGTCGGGTCAAAGGCAGGAGCTGGGAATGCAATGCAGGTTTCCCACATGGGTGCTAGGGACTCAACTACTTGAGCCATCCCTGCAGCCTCCCAGGGGGTGCATCGGCAGGAAGCCGGAATCAGGAGCGGGCTGGGATTCAAGTTCACGTACTCTGATAGGAAATGTAGGCATCTCAAGTAGCACTTTAACTGCAAGGCCATATGTCCGGCCCTAGTGGTATACTATAGATTAAAAATGTTTTTCAAAACAAACAAATTAATTAAAAGTTACATTTTGACCAAAAACAGGTCTGGCCTAGTGAAGACAGTGGGATTCTCATATCTGCTTCTGCAATTTTTCTAAAATTTTTTAAATATTTATTTATTTGAAAGGCAGAATTACAAGAGAGAGAGAGACAGAGATCCCCCATATACTGCTTCATTTCTCCCCAAAAAGCTGCAATGGCCAGGGATGGACCAGGCTGAAGAAAGGGGCTGGGAGCTTCATCCGGGTCTCCCACGTTGGACTTGGGCCATCTTCCACTGCTTTCGTAAGTCCATTAGCAGGAAGCTGGATCAGAAGTAGAGCAGACAGAACTCTGACCAGTGCTCATATGGGATGCTGGCATCGCTGGTGTTGGCTTAACCTGCTTTGCCACATCCTGGCTCCTTCTACGTTCTCTCTATAGTGATACTGTCTTGGTTGAAGTATGTAAGAAAATATGAACTCACAGATGTGCAATTAGGGAGGAGTATTATAGCTTTTTCAGATAGTTATGATATTTTTCTTTGATACTGCACTAGAACTTCACAAGTAGTATTTTCCTGAGGATTTGTTGAAACATGAAAATCCAAAATCATTATTAGTGAACTTTTTTGTACTCTACTACATGAAAGTTTGTTGGCCTATTTTATGCTTCAAATGCATCTTCTACATGTGCAGAGTCTTGTAATGTATATTGTAATTTGAAAAGTGTGAGTTCATTGAATTTTGTGGATTTTCCAACTGTTGACACATTCTGTAATGCAGAATCCCATCATGTCCTCACAGTGTCACCCCTGATCTCAGCAGTGGTCCTAAGGATTGCAAAACTTTCTAAATCACAGTGGCAGATGCAACTTCTCCAAGATTCAGATTTTCACCTGCAAGTTTGAATTTTGTCATTGGAAAAAAGTCAAAGTAACGATTTCACTTCCTTTTTGATTGAGAAAATGTTTCCCAATGTCTGAAGAACCATAGTTTGCCTACCAGTCATTGTTTTTGTTTGTTTGTTTTAAAGATTTATGTATTTATTTGAAGGTCAGAGTTATAGAGAGACAGAGAGGTCTTCCATCCACTGGTTCACTCTTCAAATGGCCATGACGGCCGGGGCTGGGCCAGGCTGAAGGCAGGAGCCAGGAACTCCGTCTGTTGCATCCCACATGGGTAGCAGAGGGCAAGTACTTGGCTCTTCCTGGCACATTAGCAGGAAGGTGGATGAGAAGCAGAGTAGCCGAGACTTGAACCGGCCTTCAGATATAGGGTAGCAGTGTCACAAGCGACAGCTTAATTCACTGTGCCTTAACACTGGCCCCAGAGTTCAGAATGTTTTATAAAACATAAACCTTTCCCAGTCACATCAGGGTCCTAGACGGGGGCTGCCTGTGCTGAGAGTGTTGTGAAGGGATTTGAAGGCCATGGGCAGTGGGATACGCCCCACTGGAGCCGAGCACTGGGGCTGCTGTTCGGCTGTTGGCCTCTTTACTGTCGATGTCAAGGTTATTTTAAAATGCACCTCCCAGGGTAGGGGCTTGGCCTGATGGTGAAGGTGCCCGGGTGCCACCTAAGGGTGCCTGGTTTGATTCCTGGCTGCAGCTTCTGACTCCAGCTTCCTGCTCCAGCTTTCCTGGGAGGCAGGGGTGATGGGATCCTGCCACCCACATGGGAGACCTGGGTTGAGTCACAGCTTCCAGCTCTGTGCCAGGTCTCGCTCAGGGTCCTTGCATGTATCTGGAGTAAACCGGCGGACGGGACCTCTCCGCCTCTCAAATAAGTAAATTAAAAAATTTGTAAAAGAATTTAAAAAAATGCCCTTTCTACAAGAATGATTTCTGGGTAAACGGTTTGTTCACTTTCTTTAGGGCAGTAAAGCCTCTGAAGTTCCCTTGATAGGAGGACTTGGGTTTGTGAAGGGCAAGACCAGAACAAATGTTCCCCTGGCCCAGGACCTGAGGAGAAAAGAGGGATGAATAGGAAGATGGCTGCATGCGTGTGTGTTCCCTTAATGAGCACATTATAGTACAATTAGCTGTGTTGCTTCACATTAATGAGGCTAAAGTTCGAGTTTTAATTCCTATGGAGGAGAAAGTTTTACAAAGGGAAAAACTACAGTGTTTGCAGGATCAAATGGACGTTATTAGATCTGGGGAGGAACGCCAAGCTGTGGCTTAATCAGAAAGGGTTCACTGGGTTATGCTTATTGCACAGTTAATAAAGAGGGAAGGGATGTTCTCTGACATCTGAGTGGGTGAGAGATGGGGTCAGCTGTAAATTCATGCTATTACCTAGTTTCAGTGCTAATTCTTTTTGAAAGATTTAGTTATTTATTTGGAAGGCAGAGTTACAGAGAAAAAGGGAGAGACAGATCTTTCACCCAATGGTTCACTTCCCCGGGGCCACATCAACCAGGGCTGGGTAGGGGCAAAGCCAGGAGTCTGCAACTCCATCTGGGTCTCTGCAGTGGGCCTGACTTGGGCCTCATCTACTGCTTTCTCAGGCGCATTAGCAGGGAGCTGGATGGGAAGTGGAGCGGCTGGGACTTGAACCAGCGCTCATACTGGATGCAGGCATCGCAGGTGGCAGTTTAACCAGCCGTGTCACAATGCAGGCCCCTCAGTGTTAAAATTTAAATTTAATTGTTTTACTCTCCCAGTTTTCTGAAAGAGAATCTGCATCTACAGCACATGGGTAAACATTTTCAAGCTTTTCTTGGCTTTAAACAATATTAGTTGGGAAGAATCACTATATTCCTAAATCTGCACTTATGCAATGCACGAAGTTTGTATTCCCTAAATAAAATATTTCTTTGGGAGAAAAATAAACTATACGACTGACAACTCTTCTAAGTCAGTGGGGGTGTGTGTCTGTATACAGATGATTTTTAACTCAATCTGTGAACATTTGTAACAAAATTTCACGTCATTATAGATTCAACATTTTCTGAAGATCCGCATTGCAGAATTTATGGTCCATTTTTTTTTTCCAGTCTGGTTGCCTCTCTCCCTATCCACCGCCTTTCAGCTGTGCTGCCGTCTCGAAACCCTTCCAGGACAGATGCACCTGCACCAGGTGTGGGTGGCCCGGGGTCCGGGTGATCCCTGAGAGTCAGAGCAGAAGTGGTCACAAGCCAGGGCTTGAGGTCTGGATGAAGCTGGAAATGCGAGCTCCCCGGTGGCCTCATCAAGGTGAGACTGAGCTGAGATGTGCTCAGGGAGAAAGAGAACGGAGACAACACCCGGTGAGGTCACTGTTGGCAGATCCAGGCAAACATGCTCTCAACTCCTTGGGTATACAAAACCAGTGCAACCTACTCTCATTGACACTGTAGTAAGTGTTACTTATTTAGGTTATTTTTTTCTTAAGTATATAGTGTGTTTCAAAATATGATTTTTATTGGGACAAGTTTCTTCTTTTCTGATTTTGAATGGAAATCCAGAAGACCTTGTGTTACTCCGGGCCTGTTCTACCTCTGTAGCTCCTCTCTTAAACATGCCGCAGTGTTGGCTACCCGTTGGTGGAGGCTTTGTGTGATGTTCGTTGTGTGAAGGAGCACTGTAGCACACCGGCTGCGGCTCTGGTTGCTTTCCTGAGAAACCCTGCGCCGGGGTTGGTGCGTGAGACCTGTGTGAGCGAGTGAACACACTGTGCATCTTGGTGGGAGTGGAGGGTGCAGCCGCGAGGTTGGGAGCCCAGATTTGGGATCAGAAAGCTGACGACTTTCATCCTATTCCTGCTCTTGCTTCCTGCCTGGGGGCCAAGATTCTTGGCGTCTCACAAGTCAAAGTGATAAAAATGATGGGACCCAGTAGTTTTTATGGTGAGAAGTCAAGGAAACAGATATTGTGTGTTTGTATATAGCAGGTGCTTGGTGTCATGGCGGAGAGAGAGTGTGCTCAGCACCTCTTCTGATGTCATGGAAAACCGACATGGGCTGTGTGCACCAGAGCCTTGAGTGACAGACACGATTTCCTTCATGGAACTGGAGAAGTCCTCTGCAGGTTTATGGTTTTGTGTTTTGTTTTTGGTGCCAGTCTTAGTCGCAGATAGATGCCCTCCATATGCAAGACTTAACAGGATTCATATAATTTAATAGCATCATAATGGAATCTGCTCAGCTTCTCTCCCATTGTGTTCATGGTTCACAAAACATATAACAGCACAGAGGTTTACTTTCTTTTTTTTTTTTTTTTAATTTTTTAATTTGACAGATAGAGTTAGACAGTGAGAGAGAGACAGAAAGGTCTTCCTTCCGTTGGTTAAGCCCCCAAATGGCTGCCACGGCCTGAACTACACCGATCTGAAGCCAGGAGCCAGGTGCTTCCTCCTGGTCTCCCATGTGAGCGCAGGGGCCCAAGCACTTGGGCCACCCTCCACTGCCTTCCCAAGGGCCATAGCAGAGAGCTGGACTGGAAGAGGAGCAACCGGGACTAGAACCAGCACCCATATGGGATGCTGGCGCCGCAGGAGGAGGATTAACCAAGGATTAACCAAGTGAGCCGCAGTGCCAGCCACAACAGAGGTTTACTTTCACACTATATCATCTGCCTCTCACTAGACACAAAGGTACCCAAAAAATTGAAGAACGGTGACATCCAAGGTTGCCTAATAGCGCCTCCAGAATCTGCAAAAAATACTATTTGTCACTGTCTTTAGTTTCCTGTGAACCCTGCTGGCATGCTGAGGAGACTCATATTAATGAGTTACTCTGGTCTTTTGAAGCTTATCGGTGAGGCTAATTTAATAGAAAGGGGCAGTCAGGACTTTGTGAGAAGCGAACATGTTTTTCTGAAAGAGGGACTGGAGCACTGTGCACACGCACCGCAAATAACAGGTGCTCCGAACTCAGCCCCGGCGACAGCTAGCAGGCACTTTTCGTTCCAGCTACACCGGGGGGGAAAAGACCAAGAAAATCACGCCCTCAGTTTTTAGTAATTGTTTTTCTCAATCCAGGTACAGTGCGACCATCTCCTTTAGGCAACTGTGGGCATTTCCATGACTGCTTTCTGTTTTAAACACCTTTCCTCCCCACGGAACTCATCAGACAGCTCCACATGGAACACTCGGAATGACTCACATTTACAAGAATACATGTTTATAATGATAAAACATTATTTGCTAACTGATTTCAGAAAGGATTTGTAAATGATTGACAGATAACTGATGACTCCAAGGCATCTTTGCCAAAATCCAAAAGGTATTCAGCAATATCATCTGAACCCAGATTGCATGATAATGTTGAAGTTCAGTTAATGAGTTACACTCCCTGTAAACTTCCTGAATACTCTCTTTCAAGACATTATGACATATCCGTTAGGAACTGGAATTCTTGCAAAATTGGATTTATGGTGAACACCTTGTATGAACCTGCAAAGGGCCCTGTAAGTGTGTTTATAATTTGGGTTGAAGAACAAGCACCCTAAATCACTCATCGTTCAAACAGGCTGACTACCCCAGCTATTGGGGGGTTTTTCCAGAAGGCTTATGAATACTGAACCATTAAGTTTCTGCCAAACTGTTGCTTAATAGTCCATTTTTGCTTGTACCCTGCACCACCAAAGGCATTTGTCCTGGATTTTATATACATCCTGGGCCAGCATTGGCACGCAGCAACAACAAAAAAAATCAGCTTCCTTAATTATCCTCTCCCCTGTCCAGTTCTCTAAGAGGGTGGAATAGTAGAATTTGGAAAACATAATAGCTGTGAGAAATGTGGCACCTGGCAGGAAAGATAAGTGACTTTTACACAGTACTATTATGGTCAGGTAAATATTACTCACTTTTTATAGCACTAATAATTAAACAGAGCCTTAGTCAATCTTTTGGCAACATAAATGTTTAAGACCTGACTCTCCCGTACGCTTGTGCTGGGTTCCCCCACGTTGATCACTGTCTGGGAGCCGTGTCTAATGGCTTACTGTGCGTCTTGTTTTTTAGAGTAAGTGAAATAAACTCAATACCACTTTGTTTCCATGGAAGGCATTTTCAAACATTGAAGCAAATAACCCAGTGGCCTAAATTGTCTTTAAAAAGGGAAACTGTACAGCATGCAAAGAAATCACGTTGTTATTATTTTAAAATGCGGAACCACGAAATGGATTCAGACATCCTTAGGAAAGTGAAGGTTCTGTGTGACCTAAAATTACCTGGTAGACCATACATATAAAACAGCCATTCGAATAATAGGTGTTCCTCTAGACTGAGATATTTTATGCAGCTTAATCTTACATTGGGCTATATAACTCAATTTTGATTTGTGTTTCAGTTATTCTAATAGACATTTTTTTGCTCTCCCAGTCCCTTGTGAAATAAGAAAATGTTTAATAAAAGTGCTAAAGTAGAATTTTAAACACGTCTTCCTTAAATAGTTTTCCAATACAACACTCTGATTATTCAAAATATCAATATGCTAACCGTGATAAAGGACTTAAATGCACATATGTTATATTTTCTTTTGAAACATCATTTATTTTTATTTTATTTGAAAGGCAGAAAGCCGGCGCCGTGGCTCAATAGGCTAATCCTCCGCCTTGCAGCACCAGCACATCAGGTTCTAGTCCCGGTCGGGGTGCCGGATTCTGTCCCAGTTGCCCCTTTTCCAGGCCAGCTCTCTGCTGTGGCCAGGGAGTGCAGTGGAGGATGGCCCAAGTGCTTGGGCCCTGCACCCCATGGGAGACCAGGATAAGTACCTGGCTTCTGCCATTGGATCAGCGCGGTGCGCCGGCTGCGGCGGCCATTGGAGGGTGAACCAACGGCAAAAGGAAGACCTTTCTCTCTGTCTCTCTCTCTCACTGTCCACTCTGCCTGTCAAAATAAATAAATAAATAAATAAATAAAATAAAAATGAAAGGCAGAGGGGCAGATACACATTTGTGTGTGTGTACGCATATGTGCATACATACGAACATTCATGTATATAAGAAACAACCCAGAAAAGAAAGGATTACTGAGAACCACTGTGAAGCCTCACAGAAGTCACCTTTTGGTTTAATTTCCACCTGTTGTTTTTGTTTGAGTCAGGGCCCCTTGTTGATTAATGCCGTGACCTGGTGGGGTTGTTCCTCTGTGTGAGAGGGTCATCAGTGTGGGTGCAGAACGGCTCGCGAGAACCCATGTGGCACATCTAGCCCCATGGCTGGCACTTAGAGGCCCTTGTCTCGCACTTGGATCATTTATATTGTCTCCAAATGGCTCCTGGGCTTTCCTCTGACTTCTCCCGAGGCCGTCTTCCACATTCCTGCCTTAATAAATCAAAAAGAAAATAATCAGGGGTAGGCATTTGAGGCAGGGGCTAAGATACTGCTTGGGTGGGTGTGAATGTCAGCTCCCCTCCTCATTCTAGCCTCCTGCGAATGCACACCTGGGAAGCAGCAGTGATGGGCCTGCCACCAACATGGGAGACCTGGAGTGAGTTCCTGGCTCCTGGCGTTGGCTTGGCCCACTCCTGGCTGTTGCAGGTATTTGGGGAGTAAACCTGCAGATGGAAGATCTCTCTTTTTCTTAGTCTCTTTTTTCCTTTCTACTTCTCTTTCTCCCTCTGTCCCTCTCTGGCTTTCTCTTTGCCTTTCAATTAAATAAATTTTTTTAAATTAAAAAATTCACAGTGGGGGCTTGTGTTGTGGTGCAACAGGTTAAGCTACCACCTGCAATGCCAGCATCCCATGTGAGCAGTGGTTGCAAGGTCCCGGCTGCTCCACTTCCTATCCAGCTCTCTGCTAATGTCCATGAGAACACAGAAGATGGCCCGAGTACTTGGGCCCTTGCCACCCACATGGGAGACATGAATGGAGTTCCAGGCTCCTGGTTGGCACGGGCCAGCCCAGCTGTTGCCGCCACTTGGGGAGCGAGGCAGCGGATAGAACATCTTTCTCCACTCCCTCCCCCACCCCCAGGAACTTTGCCTTTCAAATTAAAAAAATAAATCGGGCTGGCGCTAATCCTCCACCTTGCGGTGCCCCCACACCGGGTTCTAGTCCCGGTCGGGGCGCCGGATTCTGTCCCGGTTGCCCCTCTTCCAGGCCAGCTCTCTGCTGTGGCCAGGGAGTGCAGTGGGAGATGGCCCAAGTGCTTGGGCCCTGCACCCCATGGGAGACCAGGAGAAGCACCTGGCTCCTGTCATCTGATCAGCGCGGTGCGCTGGCCGCAGCGTGCCAGCCGTGGCAGCCGTTGGAGGGTGAACCAACAGCAAAGGAAGACCTTTCTCTCTGTCTCTCTCTCTCACTGTCCACTCTGCCTGTCAAATAAATAAATAAATAAATAAATCTAAAACAATTGAAAATTAATGATATTCACTGCCTAAAATTTGTCAATTGTTCTGCATAGTCTTTAGG